ACATGGCCAATAGTTGAAATGATTTGTGATTTATATTGAAACTTGAGAGAAGAAATAATAGTTAATGCACTTAGTAATAATCATTGTACAGTTCGATTGAAAATAGAGATATGATGTTATAATTTGCATGATCTTATGAATGCTCTATTATTTAATACCATCAAAAGTTACAAGGTAATTGAACCTACTATGCACACATAGATCGATCAAGCTTTGAATAAGTGAATATTTGTAATAGTAGCATGACTTAGAAACCTTTTATAAGTTGTCAAATAATTTCAATAATTGAGGCAAATAGGACAGTCATCTAACTCATTGATTGTATGTTTGCTTGTATGTTCGATTACTAGATAATATTGCTGGTGACAAACATGAGTTCAAGTTTGAAATATTTGATGTGTCTATTTTACATGATTATCCAAACATCTTAACTCAATAAAATATTGTTAATTGAGCAAATATCTACCTACATTATTATTTTTTTATGTTAATTGTGGGAGAAAATCAAACTTCGATGCAATTGACATGAAGAAGTGTGATTTTAAGCCTAATTGAAGTTGATTTGAAGTAATCGAATACTAATTAGATTGCATGTGATCAATAAGAAGAATAAATGTAAGAATCGGATGAAATTCACAAGTTTCATAACCTAAAATCCAATATTTGGAATTTTCTAGGACTAAATTGTAAATTTTTGAAAGTTTTATTAGACTTAGTGTAGATGATTGTGGAGGATAAGGATCAAAGTATAAAGATTAGATGAAAGCCTTTGTTGCAAATAAGAGGTGACTCAAGCTGGAAAAAAATGTAAATTAGAGACTAAAAAGTTGTGCTTTGCGATCATAAGGGTTACCCCTATGTGATAGCAAGGACAGAAGTTTCATCAACGGAAAGTTTAATACGACAACTATGCAGCCGCACTAGTCTTTACCTTATGATCACATAGTGCTATGGCACATGAAAGATTCTATTTCCTAGTTGATCTCATCTTCTACTTGAAAAGCAATTGTGACATGAGTTTTGACCTAGTTTTGAGGGCTATAAATACATATATTCATCTTCATTGAAGAAGGGAAGCCTAGGAGAAGTTTCGGATAAGAAAATACATTTTCTTGATAAGCTCTAGAAGCATTTAATAAAAATACATATTCTTACATAAATTTCATGCATCTTTGCTTAGATTTCAGCGAAAATGATTAAGATTGATCAATAAGTGTTGGAGAGATTCAGGATTTCAAAATTATTTTTCATCTTCTTTCTGTTCTTTAATTATGGGTGATGTTGTATCGATTTAAGTCGTGTTTATGTAATCATATGATACTCGGCTAATTCTATAGACATAGGATAACGTTGAACCACATATCGTGAAGATACTAAATAATTTTGACCCTCAGTATTTGTTTGATTTGAATTGTTATTAGGATCTTAATGATTTTTTATTATATCAGCAATAACTGATATTATTATACTTTGCAAGATCTTATTATTGTTCTTGTGATTTACTGCATATTCACACACGCACAATGTGTGTGTGTGTATTCTTCATCGAAATATAATAGTGTCATATATGAGTATATATTTAGTTCACCCGAGAGATGGTTAAATAAACTAGGAATATTAGTTTTCAAGTTCAAATAAGCATTCTCAAATAATGGAATTGATATTAAAATGAAGGAATATCATAGGATTTGAAGTTGTAGTGCACTCCATTTATTGGATTCCATACCCGCTTCCGCACTGGTTAGTTGTTTGTTAATTAAATAAGCTATATGCCTACATAGTTATTATAAAACTCTTCCAAATTTGCCATTCAATTAAAGTTAGCGATAATTGAAAACTAATTAAGGATTTGTTTGACATTCGTTTTTGAAAAGTCAAAATGAGCTTTTGGAATCCAAAAGATATTTTTGAATCCATTTGTTTAAACATATGAAAGTATTTTTCTAGTTAGAAGAGTTTTTAAAAAAAGTTGGTTCAACGTGACTTCTTCTAAAAACACTTCTTGAATAGAAAGCTCTCTTAAAAATTAGTTTTTAAACAAAATAAAGGTAGTTTTCTCCAAAAATTCTTCTATAAAAAGCGAAAGGGCATACCAAACAAGCCCTAAATACTTGGTTCTCGTGGAACAATAATGGAATCCACTTCCTCTTTAATACTCATCGCTTATCACAATACTGTCCGCTTACGAAATTTTAGCGTAACACACCTCTCAAATCAGCTCTTTTAGGTTGATAAGAAAGAAAAAAACAAAGTTAACCCAAACAAAAAAAATAAAAATAAAAAATAAAAAAATGACTCATCTGTCTCTATTGTTGAGAATTTAATCATGTTTTTTCCTAAAGAGGAAGAAAGAAAGAAAGAAAACTGATTTATTTTGTTTTTTTAGTCTTCTTTTCATTATATTATAATTGATATATGAAAATTGTTACCATTTTATAATGACGATTCTTTCTTTGTGAACAATCAATCAATTGTAGTCAATTTACTTGTGCTTCACATTAAAATTCAAGCCATGTAATATTTGTTTCATTTTGTTTTCTTTATTTTCCATTAACACACACAATCAAGAATTAATTGATGAAACTTCTAGGCTTCTTAAGTGGCTTTATACATACTCTCCTGGACTCAAAATTATCCTAATATGCGAAGAATTTTATCATATGGTTTCTTCAATTAGACGAAGCACTATATCTGAAAAATAAGTAACATAACCTACTCTAAATTTTTGAAAATGAAATTTAGTCCTTGATCGGGCTCCATTTTTTCAAAAATGTACGTTTTTCAAAACTCATTTTCAATTACACATTCTCTCATAAAATAATATTACACGTAAACTCAAAACTATTCCTTAGTTTTTAACAACAATTCTTGAAAAAATTATTATTTCAAAATACATTTTATCCAAATATCTCATTTTAATGGAGCTTAAACATGAGCTAACCGTTGTTGTCGTACCAATAACCCATGTATTTGTATTGAATAATACAAAAAAATAAGTAAAGAAAAGCTTCTATATAAAAGACTACATTATACACACCTTTTTATTATTGTTGTTGTTATGAAGCTCCATATTATAAAAGAGTAATGCTATTCATAACCATTGATGGTAAGCACCATTTCATGTGGCAATTATAAGGCATTACATGTTTGATTCATTTAAATACAAAGTTAAATGACTCATTTAATTGAATCTATAAAATGTACAAGCACATAAATTGGTGCTTTAGCACTACTAATGTTAGAGTACCATTTTAGTTGACTAAACTCTATTATATGTCAATTAAATGAATCATGTAATTTTATATTTAAATGAATCTGTCATTTAATGTCATGTAATTGTCACTAGGGATGGCAATTCGAACTATTAAAATCGAAAATCGCAGTTAATTGAATCAAATGGGGCAAAAAAATCGAATCAATAGTACAATGAAGTAGATATGATATTTGATTTTAATGACTCGATTTGGGACGGGGCGAGTATGGTATTTACGCCGTCGCCCCGCCCCACCCAGAATCGATTACTCGTTATTAAAAAAAATAAAATTGAGCAATTGGGCTTTCCATTATTCTTTCTTTTATAAATCTGTCTAGCCCAAAATTTATGGCCCATTACTGACCCATTAAATAATCTAACCCAATTACCCACTAACCCTACCACAAAGAAATTGAAAAATTGGAATCAAATTCAACAATAGATTAGCCGTCTGCTTCTCTGAGTCTCTGCAGTGCCATCTCCAATTTTTCTTCTCCATACAGTGTTCTTTAGCTCTTGCTATCGCCATCCCCAAATAGGAGAGTATTTTTCTTCGCTATTCAATAATAGTTGCTCGCCGTTTGCCGTTGCTGTAATCTATATCATTTTTTGTTGAGTTTGAGTATTTGATGAAATGTGGTTCTTATTCTTGGGTTTAAATTGATGATATTGTGATAATTTTAGTACATATTTATTTGTTGTCATACTTATTTCTTACTTAATGTTATATGTGAAATGCAAACATTTCTAGAACTTAATGATTTTCTTACTTATTTTCTTAGTTTTACTGTTTTTGAGCATCATGTGTCGAGAATATGATTTTTCTTTGTCGCATTTTGCAAGAATATAGGTGTGAAGAATAGTAGGGTAGGATTTGTTGTTACTTGAAAATTATCCAGTTACAAATCTAATGTAGAACTAGTCTTTTCTTTGATTGAGTTTTTAAATGTCTCAATTTATGTTCATAAACTTGTTGTGTTTATAAGTGTGAAGATTGGGTCAATTACTTTGTTGTGTTAAAGTAGATTAATCTGCTGTTGCGGTGAAGTAAACATTAAAAATAACTTGTAATATCATAAATTTATTAAACTAGTCTTTATTTGGCATTTCCCCCCTCGAAATTGGCTTAGTATTATGTTTTTGTTTTCACTGATTTTTTTCATAATTATTTTTTTTTCAATTTGACGGTTGTACTTATAAAAAATAATTTATTTTTGTGGTTATTAACGACCTGAACCGACTTACGTCGTTATGTACAGTTATAGTATGGCCAAAAAATTGGTGACTCGATGATAGTTTTGATCGAACTGAACCGTTGTCAACCCTAATTGTCACATAGATTGATCCTTAACAAACAATGGTTATGAATAAAATTACTCATTTAAAAATTGGATTGGAGGATCAACTAGGCAATAAAGAATCAATATAAAAATCTGTCCGATCCAAAATGAAATGAAAGAAAAATAAAAAATTGTTTAAAGTAATCAGAGTATAGTTTAATTTTTAAATTTTGTAACATACTCCAATTTAAGGTACATTATTATTAACAAATATGAATTAATTGATTATTGGGTCTAGGTGTTAATTAATTGACATTAAATAAGTGGCACAATTACATGAATCACATAATTTCTCCTTCAATTAAACATATTATATCAATTGACGTTAAATAACATTATTTATTTGTAAAATTTCAATTACACTTTTGAATAATATTCTTTGTACCCTTAAAATGTGTATGCGTTTCTAGAGGCCAAAGTATTTGTCTTCCCGGTAAAGTACTACCGACAAAAACACTTTTTTCCTTCCCATCCTCCAACCCTCCGCCGCCTTACTCCGCACCGTAATCCTCCGCCACGTCACTCGCCCAATCCTCCACCACCACGTGCCACCCTAGTGCTCTCTATCCCTATATATAGATACAAACAGAGACAGACGTACATTTTTCTATTTATTTCAAATACGGGAAATATGTAATGCATGAGAAACACGCTGCTTTTCATTTATATTTTGGATTTTGCTCTCACTGAAGCACAAAAAATGGAGGACGAGAATGGCAAGAGAAATGGGTTTGAACCCACCGGGGATGTCATCGGGAAACGGTTGAGAACGACGGAGGATCCTGACGGAAGCGTCGGAATACAAGAAGAAGATGATAGAGAAATGACATCATGGCTAATGCTCGACGAAGATTCAGCTATGGAGCTATCAAAGCTTTTGGACTCATGGGACGCGCCGCCGCCTCCAGTGAAGGTGAGGTTCATCGAAAACCCCTACTCTTCGACAGTGATATTCCAATCGTCGTCGGCTTACGTTACAATAAATGGCAACGAGGAGACTTGTGGATCGTCTTTCTCCGACTCGGACTCGTCGGTGATGGCGAGCATTGACCTGGGGGGTATCAGGAGGGTGGTTCTGGGGGAGATGAAGGAGGAGAGCGGTGGCGCGTGGCCTACAAACACCTGTGAGAATGGTATGGATGCTGACAGGGACTTGGAGATGGAGGGTTTTTTGGTCAAAGAAATTAGTGGCTGTGATTGCTCTGGAAGTTCATCTGATGATCAGATCGATTATGAAGAAGCCACGTGGCTAAAGTTTCTTGGAGAGGACGTGTTTGGGTCACTGTAAATTGTGGTGGTTCAAAAAGCACAGTGAAAAAAGTTACTGTTTACTAGGGTTTTGACTGTGTGCAGGTGGTTTTTGTCAAAAAGAAACTGTAAAGTAAAAGTGAGTTTTCACTTTTTTTATCTTTTATATATAATGGAATTTGTTCGAAGTTCAAACTTAATTACAAAAAATAAAAGGCATTTTATCATCCTCTAAAAAATAATGGAGGAACACCCATAAAGAAAAATGGATATTTAATAAATTCGAGTAAGTAAGTTTAGATTTTTTGGCAGTATCCCTATGATGATACAATTTTGTGCAAGTTTGAGCCATATTCCCCATCTTTGAGCCCAATTCTTTGGAAGAAAATTCAATGTTTTGAAATCATTATAATTACATGTTTTTAATAAAATAAAATCACATGTAAATTCAAAAAAATTTCTTATTTTTTAATCACACATTTTTCTTCAATATATTATTCAAAAATTTATTTTTTCCTCCAAAATAAAGTTCAAACAAGGGCTAAAACTCATTTTCTTGTAAAATTCATTTTTAAATACACATTTTTTTAATAAAATAATTTTACACATAATTTAAATTTTTTTTACTGTTTAATCAAACATTCTTCTATAAAATTTATTATTACAAAGTATTCTCTCCCAACAAATGGGATTGAAATAGCACTTAAATATATTTGGACTAAAGTTTACTTTAATAAAAAGAAAAGAAAAGAATATTATATTAAGAAAATTAAAGAGAGTTACATATATAGCAAACATGCAAGAACCAAGTTGTGCAAAGTATTGTACAAATAGAAGTATTCTATATATTGACTCTAAGAATCAAAATAGACTCTTAAGTGTGAAACAAGTTGTGCAAAGTATTGTGCAAATAAAAGAATTTTATATATAGACTCTAAGAATCAAAATAGACTCTCAGCTGTGAAATTATATTGTTTCATAAAATACTCCCATTTTTTTAACCAAATAAATGTTCTAAAAATAGTCCATAACCTATTCCATGATTTTCTTTACATATTCTGCTTAATAATTCTACATGAAACCTTCCTGTACTGGAGTGGGTGTTAGTATATAACATTCTTACTTTTTCTTATTATTGTGCAAAACATTCATACCTTATAATTTTTGACATTTTCACCCAATTACTTGTTTGATTATGCAAAACATCATTTTTGCCCATTTTCATCCAACTGCTTCATAAAATCAACGCATGTAGTCAATTTTTTTCAAAAGGGAAGGGTATTTTCATCTTCCCACATTTTCCCCGTTCTTCTCACAATTATTTTTCAATTGTGCATTTAAAATCTCTACGAAACCAACTGTTTATTGTACGAGGAGAGGAAAATGTGACATTTGTAGACATAAAAAAAATGGATTGAGTCGATCTAAATAATTAGCCCAATTAAATTTATTAAATTGAAGTCCACTAAGGACCATAAAATTCGGAAGGCCCATCTCACTTTTTAAATAAATAAATGAATAAAAGTGGAAATTACAACCCACCATATATTTGAAGATCAATATTTTAAAATCATGTGGGAGATTTCACTTTTCAAAAATAAGATGTTTTACTTTAATTAATATTTTTTTTAAATAAATGTTTTTTCTAGATATATGTACTTAATACACTCACATCACACACCCTAATTTTCTCTATCTACATTTCTCCATTCTCTCTCTCTACACAACCCATCAGCTTTCTCTATTATCTCTCTCTACACCATCCATCGACTTTCTCTACATAGGATTGTTGTAAAGCACAGCAACCACCATTCGAATCATTCACAGGATCACTCCACGGCGTAGCAACGACGTCGATGGCACTGCGAGTAGATCTTCGCTGTTACTTAATCTCTTATTTATGAAATTTTTCCTAAATAAAATTATAATTACTCAATTATTACTTTTAATTAAAGATAATTGAGTGATTGCCAAAATTGGTCATGTCGAAAATTCCTTTATAAATAGAACCAATGGTCCATAAGATAAAGAAGAATAAGTGAAAGCACAAAAGACAATCACAAAATGCTGAAGAAATATCAAAGTTGGAGGAAGAGAAAAAATCATCTCAAATCTAAATCTAGTGAACCCCAAGAAGATGAAAATCTTCTTCAAATCAAGCAGGTTTAAATCAAGTCCAAGAAAATCAAAGCCTTCTTTAAATCAAATTAAATTAAAGTTCAAGCCTCGAAATTCAAGTGTCGAACAAGTCAAATCTCAACCAGTGAAATTTTCGACAACTTCTCGAAGACCAGAATTCAAACCACGTGGCCCCTTATCTTCAAACATTCAGATCATTAATTAGATAAACTTTGCAATTTTGTAATTACAAGAAGGTTAACAATACTTGTATTTCTCAAAATACAGTCCTTAACTATTTCTGTATTTTAATACACGAAATTCGTCGTACAAATTTCTTGGTATGCCCAGTGAGATCTTCTTGTTATCTTAACTTTTAATCTCGGAATCTTCAAGTTTCAACCACTATGTCAGCAATAGCAAGCGAAAAGTGTAAAAAAAAAAAAAAAAAAAAAAACTATAACTCACCTTAAAGAGACCCTTGTCGAACTCTTCTATGCGACGAAGGCCCAAACAAAAGCTAGAAAAATTCAACTGGTCCCACCTCTAAAGAAGTTCTCTAACAGAGGCAAAATGAAAATTTCTTTCAAAAAGTCAAATTCTCATTCGAAAGAAAGAACCATGAGTTCGACGAAAAACTCTCATTCGAGCTCCGTCTCCAGTTGTAGATTCTTGTCTAGATCCTCTTATGCCACTTCTCTACAAAGTTGGGGAAACGATGCTTCATCTAAAAAATTACTTGAGCCAGTGATGGTCACAAAAGTGATATCGGACTCAGAAGACCGAATCCAACAAATGGCTTTAGCCATTGAAAAATTAACTAAATAACTACTAGAAGATAAAGATTCACAAATTGCTGCACTTATGCACAGGCTAGAGTTACAAAATCCTCGATTAAAGAAGATCAAGAAAATCTGAGATCTTCTAAAGCTAAAGACCTACAAGTATAAGAGCGCCAATAGAAACAAGATATGCATGATCTGACAATTGTTGGAAATGTGTTGCATGACAACAGCCAACTCTTCGTTCGCTCTCTATCCGTCCAACAACTTCAACATATGATTGGAAACACCATTCATGCCTAGTATGATGATTCGTTGAAATCTTCATTGGTGTATGCCAAGCCATATAGTCGTCTAATTGACAAAATGAAGATGCTACTAGGTTACCAACCTTCGAAATTTTAATGTTTTGATGGAAAGAGCAACCCAAAGTAACATGTTGCTCATTTTATTGAGATGTGTAACAATTTAGACACTTACACTGACACCATGACGAAGCAGTTCGTACTCTTCCTCAAAGGTATCGCGTTTGAATGGTACACAGACTTACCAACAGGGTCAGTTGATAGTTGGGATTAGCTCAAGTGAGAGTTCCTAACACACTTCTACAGCACCTGGTGAACTTTCAGCCTTCCAGAACTTGCTCTAACGAAGCAAAGCAAGGAAAAGCTTGTTGTAGAGTACATCGAACGCTGGAGGATCCTTGTGCTTAATTGTAAAGAACGAAGATGTGTACAAGGCATAAACTAGAGATTACTCTATAATTTTCAAATAAATATGCCTCACTCATTTGAAGAATTGGCGACCCATACTCATGCTCTAGAGCTCTAAATTACAAAGCATGGGAATTACTTACCAAGTGATCCATGTGACAAGAAAGATCCTACGAAAGAAATAAAGAAGGATATCAAGGCAGGTAAACCTAAAGAAGCTATGACAAACTCTACTATTCTTACAAAGATAACTTTCTGGAAGTCAAGTTCAAACCCAAAATCGAAGTCAGTGTTCAGACCTAATAAAGGACAAGTCCAAATCAGAGGTCTTGTGACTGTGAAAGAACTTTAAAAAAAAAAAAAAAAAAAAAGGAGTACCCATTCTCAGATTCTGAAGTTTTTGAAATTATAGATTAGCACCTTGAATTGAAGCCAGTGTTTAGACCTAATAAAGGACAAGTCCAAAGCAGAGGTCTTGTGACTGTGAAATAACTTAAAGAAAACAAGTACATATTCTCATATTCTAAAGTTTTTGGAATTTTGGATTAGCTCCTTGAATTGAAGATAATCGAACTTCCAGTACCCAAAAGACCTGATGAAGTAGGTAAGATCGATCATCCCAAGTATTGTAAATTTTGCAAAATCATTAGCTACCTGCTAAAAAAATATTTCATCTTGAAAGATCTTATTGTTCGTCTAGACAAAGAAAATGATATCAAACTTGATATCGGAGAAAATCCAACAGCCGCTTGCTCGATGGTGTCATTTGGATCATGTGATCTAATTCCCATTGCAAAGAAGGAACAAACATTTCCTAATATATATGATGCCCGTAAATCCTCGGTTGAGGAGTTTGGACCTCAACTTCCAGAAGAAGCCTTCCCAGTGGAGTTTGAGATAGGCGAAGAAATCACTATCAATTACTTCTATCAAGGGATAGATTGACCAAGTACCCCCAATCGTCCGACCTTTCATGAAATTATGTCAAGTGACTTGGATGTTTGGGATTCTGATTTAGAGTCCAAAGACGAGATCAGTGACAGTTGGTCCACCTTCATAAGCAAGAAAGAGAAGTACAGAATGCCAAACAAAACAGGTAAAATATCGCCTTCTACGCCTCTTATAAGATTGAAGCTGGAGGAATTGGGTATGAAAATTTAGCAAAGTCTCCTAGTCTTCATTTCGATTATCGAATGGCTTTGGTCGCTGCATTAATTGAATCGGAAAAAGCGAAAGCAAAGTCTTAGAACATATTGGATCCATATATTTTACAAGATTGTATGGCTGCCATAACATTTGATGATAAAGATTTACAACTGGGTTCTCTTTTACATAATAGACCACTGTATGTTAGTGGTTATATTCAAGAATACATGATAAATCACATATGATCGATTGTGGATCTGCTATGAGCATTATTTCGATCAAAACATTAAAAAAAAATTGGAATTAATGTTGGTGATCTGTCTAGGAGCAAAATCATGATTCAAGAATTCAATGAAAAATGTCAACGAGGCATTGGTATGATTCGCCTGAAGCCGTAAATAGGATAATTAATTTCCTCAGCTCTCTTCCATGTCATTGAGCTAAA